TTGATGCAGGAGCAAGTGACGCTGATCAAGACCAAGACAGGCAAGACTATAAGGAGGAGCGACCTTGGAGGGGCAGACGTGCCAACTGGAAATGTGATTGACAAACTTACGTTGTACTTTGGGAAGGCCATTCGTGACAACATACACACGTGTCTTGGAGATGCAGACTGCCATCTATGCTTCTTATAGACATCTTCATTCCACTGACAAGCTGCCAGACCTTTATACTTGTCCTAAAGGGAAAAAACCCATGGTGTTTTTATAACAGTCAAGGCAAAAGGAGAAGATCCCCATCACATGCAAGTAAGAAGTTGTACTTGGAGAAGATTTCTATCCAGAAGTTGAATGGTGTCCGGGAAGTTTACAGAGACCTTACCAGTAAAGAGTTACTGACAAGGTGTCTCAAGGGTCATACCCATAACCCAAATGAAAGCCTTCATTCCAAACTGTGGGCAAAGTGTAGCAAAGACAAGTGTGCAGGTATAAAAAGATGATGCTTTCTGGCACAAATGAGTACTGGAACACAACTGTGAATATGAGAAGAGGTCCCTACTACTTCATTGTAGAGATGGTAAAACCAAGCTAAGCTGAGAGTCCGTGCCCTTAGGGTGCAAAACAGTCTAAGAACAAAATGGAAATCAGTTAAAAAGAAAACAAGGAGAACTTTGAGTTTAGATTACATATCAGGAGGCTTTTAAACTCGCCAAACTTGGCAATGATGCAGAAAGTGATGCCTTCTGATACCCTAGAATAATACCGTTTGCAAGGGGACAAAGTACCAGGTGGAGCTAGAAACATATTCTAATATGATCTATATTCATCTACATACAATGACGACTTATTAGGGGGTAACTTGTAAAATAGTAAACAATGTCGTATTTTTTATTGTAAGTTATTGGTATAAAAGCTAACACACTGGCGTAAGCACTGGAGCAATTTTTAAAAATAAGGTATCATTTGAATCATGAAAGAAAGGGTTATTTTTCATTTATTTTTTATTATTTCTTATCCATATCCAAGAATTCACCAGTGGCTAGTATTTGCTTTTTTTCATTTTTCATCAGCAACCAATGACATTAGCCAAAAATAAAAATAACAAAGCACTGTTTATAACTTGCAGATGGTGTTCCATTAAATAAAATTGGACACAAAATAACCTCCCCATTATTTATATTTAAAAAAATCCTTTACTTATAAAAAATAATGGCCCGAGGTCATTGAAATTCACGCAAAAAACAGACAGTAATAATCCCTATAGCATATATAAAAACCAGGAAAATCGACTGGTAAATAAAGTGACCCTGTAACGAGATAAACCCCTTAAAGGACCCAGGATATAACCTTGACCCACATTTCTCATGCATTTTCTTGCAGCTTGTTGCTGATATCTTGTTCATCACAGTGACTACATTTATTCATAACAGTGATGTAAGTTTTGAACCATGCCTCGTTTTGCTGGCAAGGGGGTGAAAAAAGTGCAAGGAGTTTGCATCATGCAGTGACAGTGCGGTGCCTCCTGATGCCTCTATAGAAATAATAATTTTATTGTGATTTTCATATAAAATTGTTTGTAGAGAATTTATTTACAATGCTAATGCAACAAATCCTACCCTTTTACCTCAAATGGCAAGCTTACTATGACTCATGTGGTGCAGTCAAGTGTGGTGAGGTGAGAAACAGGCCAGACCCCGAGGGAGAGTATCTACCCAAACACAAGAGTGTTAAAAATAATTTATAAGGCTTTAAATAGATCCACATTCCTTTGTGATGAGGCTGACAAGACCGATCTTAAACATCACCATCTCAATGGTAATTTGTGCTTGTTAAAAGAAATTTATATTTCTTAACCCAGGAGCATCAAATATCGTGTACATATACATGCAGGTGCGTTGACATATCTATTTCTTCTCTAAAACACTGTTTGCAGTCCTTGAGTATTTAGCGTCGAGGTATTGGCTACACATGGCTGCACGTTCATGATCAGCCGGAATTATTTAACACTTGTAAATAACTGACAGGTTTTCAATGTGCAGTACAGTATATGGAAACAAAACTTTGTCACCAACAAACTCATTTTCTATCAGGTTTAAATATATACTGTACTGTATACTATCTCAATATATCAAAATTTGGAGGGTGAAAAAGGTTTTTATATGCACCGGGACTGCCATAGGGTGGGTACCCCCTCCCGATAAAATGTTCCAGCGATCCCGAAAGCAAACCCGATTGCAAATACTCCGTATACTGTTCTCCCCGTTCACCATAGCAACAGTGACACTACCTCCGCCGACTCCCTAGTAACGCTCCCCCCTACCACTAACCGCCTAGCCGGAACATTTCTGCACAGTGCACATCTAGAGCCATGGAAACTGATCTTATTTGTCAATCATTGGCTTCTAAAGGTCTGGGACCCCAATTCAGAGTCTTCCGAGTCTAATTGGCGTACGCACACAAGTGGATAGGTTAGGTTTAGGGTTAGGTTGGGTGGTAATTATTGACGACTGACCCGCTAGCAATTTAGCATAGTAAACGATTATAAAAATGCTTCAGTTTCACTGTGTTTTATTGAGAACATGGTTGTATTTTGTGGATTTTTTTAACTCAACTCAACTCACCCCCCACCCCACATAAAACCGCCGCATTACCGCTGAGAAGACAAAGTAGTGCACACCTTAGGCGCCTGAATATCGAACAAATGAAGAATTTGCACAAGAAATTATTGTAAAATTATTGTTTTGGTCATCCAGCAATTCTTACGATTTTAAATTTTGGAATCAGTAGTTTAAACAATTTTAAGGGACTTTTCGCCAATAGCATTTCTTCCTCTCGTGATTAGTTTCAGAAAAAAAAGAGGGTTCAAGGCGGGGGAATATCACAAAAAAGTTATAATTTGCAATAGAAATGAAGGTCAGAATAATCCAAAACCTAGCCTAACCCAACCTAACTTAACCCTAAACCTTACCTTAATTAGACTCTGAGTTGGGGTCATGAGATCCTCCTCCTTGTCATCCACGTCGCACTGCTTAGTGCCTGGCCGCTCTTTCTCTGACTGAGGGGGGTCCGGCAAGGAGCCTATACGGAGCTGTGATTGGTTGATCCAAAATCATACCCACCAATCAACGTCCAAAGAACAACTGTGCATGTTTAATGAGCATACAAACTAATACTGTACATGAGTACACACAGGAGCTCTCTGAGATGGTGGTAACAATAACAATTAGAAAAAAAAAATTTCCAATAATTTATTGGGATTTTCTCTGAAGGTAATAACGAGCGGGAGAAATGTCATAGAAGAAAAATGTCTTAAAATTGTCTAAACTACCGATTCCAAACTTAAAATCCTCAAAATCGCTGGATGACATAAACGATATAAATACCGTACTGAAATGATTATCATACGAGTACTCACTGGAAAGTAGAGTAAGAAAATAAGGTGAATTTATAATTTTACGCCGGTATTTCTTTCGCTGTTATTAATATGTACTGTTTAGGCACTTCCAAGACATTTTTTCCTATGATATTTCCACCGGAAATTAAGGATAACCGAGATATTAATTTTTCAAGATTATTACTTTCGCTCATTCACAAGTGTCGCCATGTCTTGTTTACATCTGGCGGAGGAGGTATGACACCCCATCACGCATCGCTCCAGACCTCCGTGTTCGCTTCTTAAGCGTCTACAGCGAATGTGAAAGGGGTGAAGTGGGAGTTTCTTATTGGCTATTGCGATAGAATTATTATTGGGCAAATTTTTTTTTGTATTAGCCAATGAACAATGAGTGGGTGAGTCGGGATCGGAGATTTGAGTTGGAAGAGCTGTACCGACATTGTGAGAATGATTATTTTGAGTCAATTGCAGTTACACCAGAAAAAAGTGAGGATTTTTTTTTTCTTAGAAAACACGGTGTATGACCGAATATAGTTCTTTGTCCAAAGTGTAATAACCAGTGTACACTGTGGGGGCATGAAGAATGGGGGGGTTAGGTTTTGTTGGTTGGTTAGTATTTTATTTATTTGCTTTATTCGAAAAAGATAAAAATTCATTTTTTTCCGTTATGACAGTTGGGTGGAAAGGCCTGGGGGGAGGTATATCTAAAAAAAAAAATAAAATAAAAAAAAATAAAATAAAATAATACATCAGCGGGTCAGTCGTCCATATTAGCCAGCCAACATAACAAACAAGTAACATTGCTTATGAAAAATAAAAATTGGTCAATTTTTACAAGTGGACAACCATGGATTTTAATATTTGAAATAAACATTGCTCAACAACCAAAAAGCACCCAAACTAACCTAACCTAGAGGTTCGTTGGTTGTCTACTTATATTAGAAAACACCAGAAAATCTTACCTTATGAAAGCATTACCAAAACGATAATAATATAAGACATTTTCAGGTGCACTATATAAAAACTGCAACGAGAAAAGCCCTTCTGACGTACTATACTTAACACTTCCCAGGAGTGTTAACTTGTATCTGGTAAAGAGATGTTATCTTCCTCTTGACTTGATGTTTATCAAAGTTCCTCTTAAATTCGAATATGCATAAGCATTTAGGCGATTTAACCGTATACTGCACTACACCACTGGTGGTCAACCAGGTACGTCACTGTACTGTTCTGTATTACAGTAATCAGTTTTTTGCTTTACCTATATTCTAATACATAATTTGTTTACCACAGATATGAAGTGTCCCCTAAATTATAATATCAGCCACGTCCCCTATTTTATAATCTCAATGTGGTAGAGAACGTTAAGGGTAAGAGTCGGGCGTGGGCGTGATACACAATGATGCAAGGCCACCATGCCGCGTCCTTCCTTCCCGCTCTTTTGTACCCTACACACAATGACCTCAACAACGCCATCCTCGCCAACAACACAAGCCAAATTACCTAAAATTCAAACTATAGTTCTGAAACACTATGATTATAAGATGGCTGCAGTTAAATACTAGCCTATTCCTGTAAAATTTAATGAAAAACATGCTTGGTCAGCCATTACCTCTAGCGCGCCTTCCTCCCTGCGTAAACAACTCAACAGTGAAGTTAACTCCTCTGTCCTCTGTCCTCTGAGTCCTCTTCTCATATTCTTGAATATTTTTATTAAAGCCACGAGATATATAATTTTTGACAATAAGATTGAATATATACTTTATAGAATATGATAATTGTTATATAAAAATAACAATATTATATCTGGTTGTAATGTGGTAGTTAAATTAACAAGTTAAATAAAGGAGAGGAGAAATGTAATTTATTATTTGATGTATAGATTATAGATACTACACAACGGCAATAAATCATTCAAAGGCTGTAAATTGATTTCGATTATTTTATCATGTGATGAATAAATAAATATGTGTACCGTGCTGGGTACACTGAGTTACACATATTTATGCGATAGGGTATCTGAGAACTCAATGTACTGGATAGTATTTAGCAATCAAATTTCATTTTACGAAAAGCTAGGTTGTGATTGGTTACTATGGTGATGTACCCAAGTAGAAGGAAGTAATAGCACGGTCGCTACGCGTGTGTCCGCACATCATAAAAAAAAATACTTAACGTAGTTGGGTACGAACATTAACTCCCGTGACGTCACAACCACAACATAAACACACATTAACTCCCGTGACGTCACAACCACAACATAAACACCCAACTATTAATACACAATGGTGACATCACTTACTGCTTGAGTCAATATTATAAGATGGAAAAGTTTGATAGTGAAGAATCAGATGACGAGTGGTTCTTTGAGTCAATTAAGAGGTAAGCTATTTATTTTCAATATTGTTTATGAGAACTTTACTGACCTTAATCTGCGGTAACTTAACGAAGACGTGACAATAGCTTCCCTGAGATGCCGGTCATATTCAGGCAATTTAACTAAGGACAGCAGACAACCAATGAGAGGCTTTGTTTGCAATAAATGGTAAATATTCGTCCATTGGCTGTCCTTAGGTTTTGATACAAACATAGTTTTTGTGTGTGTACTGTATTACTCAAATCTGACCTTATTTCTTGCGCAAATTAGCGGGTTTTTTTAACTAACATTTTCAGTTATAACAGAAACCGCTAATTTGCACCAAAATGGTGGTCAGGTTTGAGTAAAACACCATAAAATGCAAAAAACCTCACTTAACCTAACCTAACCTTTTGGGGGGGAGCTTACCTGCTACTGTGGTGATGGTTACATCTGGGCGATCTGGTACGCTTATGGTTACAGACAAAAGAATTTGTCGTAAAAGTAAACAATTTTAAAATGTACACTGTGTGTACGTGTATGATAAAGATAAATCTTGATAAAATCACATGGGAAAAGGGAAACACTGGAGCACCTTAACATTTGTCTTTATTCAAAATCTCTTCGGACAAGCTAGAGTACTCTTTCATAACCCGTCTTAGATTAATTTTCTACATTATGCAGGTTCCCATACATGTACACTCACTCTTGCTCCAAAAATTATCTTTATGGAGGGGTCCGATGAACTTCACTATAAACACTATGACTCCTGTTGTCTCAGTAGGGTTGTCAAAACCCTTCATCCATTGTGTCATAATTATTGTCTCACACAAAATCATAAAGATATAGTATTTGTGAGTGAGTGTTCAATGAAAGACAAAAGTCGTGTCGTGAAATTTGGTGAAAACATGTGCCTTGTGGTAGGGGGGCCCTCATAATGTTTCACGAGTTATATTTAATCTTCGTACAAAACCGCGACATGACCTTTGTCTTTGATTGTACAGTACATCCTTATTGTCATACAGTATTCTCATCCCATTCTGTTGAATTTTTCATTCTGTTAAATATGATGTCTCTTGGCTTTCAATATTTTTTTATTTATCCACTTGTGTGTGTTACAGATATGAGGACTTGTTAATGTATGATGTGCAAGGTTTTGTCACCTGTGCAACCTTCTCTGGTGATGACAGGCTCCTTCTGGCTGTTTCTAGAGGTGAGGGAAATAAGGTTTGTTCTAGTCTCATTATTTTTTCAAGACTAACATTGCACTGGCAGACATCAAATTGTGGCCATGTTGAAGAAGAAAGAGGCCAGTCTACACTTCCCAAACTTAATATTTGAATGTGAAATAAATGGATATAGTGAGGAAACTATAGTACTATTATAGTCATGCTGAAGATCTGGGAACAGATAATGGATGTGGTTGTGTACTTAATACTTATGTTGTGGAGGCTCAGAAAAACCTAAATGTCAGCCCGACACATTCATGATAAGTGAATATAAAAGGAGGAGGCACTATAACGATGATGTCATTACGGCAACGTGTGTTCCGAGACAGTGCAAATAAACAACAAAGGTAAACAGTAAAGGTGGCGGCACACTGGGCACTTTCTTCCGAACATGTTGCCCATTTTGCTGGCCGTTGGAGCCCAGCAAGCAGCAGGATTTGGCGGGGATCTTTGCTGGTCGGATTAGTGCTCAAATGAGCTTCATGTAATTTCAAGTAAAAATTGAAATAAATCATGAAACAATAATAATTTAAAGTATATCACATAAACGGTGACATATTTTTATTTATTTGTCACTTTAACACTTCTTTGGTATCATTAAATCATTATTCAGGGTCTTGTTTAACCAGCCAGCCACTGCCACTTTAAAGAAACTTCACAGCGCACCCATTGTCTTTTCTTTAGCTTTTGCAGACGCCTCACTTGTTTCAGCAATTGAAGAATTCTAGCACAAACCTGCAAGGCCACAACTGTAGTAACGGAATCCATGGTGAACCTCGTCTAGACACTTTGTTGTTGTTTTCATTGCGTTAAGCATATGCTCCAAAAAATATACCAGTGACAGAAAACGTCTCTTTGTTTTGCTGGCCGGACCGTGTTTGCCAAACATGTTTGGAGGAAAGTTCTTAGTGTGCCACAGCCGCCATAAGGCAACTTGACCAAGGATAGCCTACAAAGCTATCCGGTGCCTATTTCCAGGAGGGTCCTTTGCTTTGGCTTATACTTGGTCTCTAATCAGTAATAGTACCAGGTATGTCTACAGGAGTATTAGTGAACTTTTTTCTTCTTTTTTTTTTATAAAATTCAACAAGCATTACATTGTGCTTGGACTATCTGAGGCTGGCGGATCACTATCACAGTACAACATTCTGTGGTTAATAATATAGAAACTCACTCTCTTTTCTTGCTGTAGCTTCATCTACTATGTATTTCTTTTGTTTTATCTTAGAATTTTTTAGTACCATAACTTGTTTTGATGTGGTCTGGTAGTTTTTTTCTATTAGAGCAGTAAAGAAGAAAGAGTTTTTCACTTGACTGCAGACATAAAATGTAAAATCAAGACAGTGATCAGAAGAACTAATTGGTATAATTGAAATGGTTTGTTTTATGTGCTTAAATCATTAGGGTTATTTACATTTTTTCCATATGGATTGTAAAACACATGTTAATTTTCAGAACACCTTCATGAAGTGTGGGAGCTGAGCATTCCAGATAAAGTGGTTGCGAGAAAAGACGCTGGCCTTGTTCGGAACCGAGATTTTACTCTTTTAGCAGCTGGTTACACAGGGAGTCTGGTGAAGCAGGTGATGAAAGATTATTGTTGTGAAAGGTGAAATTACTCTGTAAATAAGCAATCCCCAAAACAAGTTAGACCTACTGCTTGAGTGATTACAGACTTTTGGTACTACAGTACTGTACTGTATTTTGGCAAATATAAGGTGCACTTTTTTCCCAAAAATTTGGTAATGCCTCAAAATACGTCCACACATCCTCCTCCTCCTCTCCTGGGCCCATTCTTCTCTTTCCTTAATACACTTACAGTAGTGATCTGAGTAATGAATGTGCTATACAGTTTCTGCAGTATGATATATTAAGTGGACTTATTCCTCTTAAGTTTTACAATAATTAGTTTGATCATATTTATTTAAACTCTACAGGGAACTACATAATGCTCTGTTTTACTAAAGCAGATAAATGTTTTATAAGACATTGTTAATTTGATGTAGATTTGTTCCTTGTTAATTTGTTATTAGTTTTCTTCCTGTATAATTTCTACATCAAATTTATATTCCTTTGCAGATGTTGTATGTGTCGGCAGGTGTAGTAACTTCGGGATCATGTGGCATATACTTATATTCCATCCCTCAGTCCAAGGATGAATCAGGTAAAACCTATATCCAGAAATCAACATTGAGTGTTGACAGTGGGGATTAACCCCTCAAGGATATGTCATATGTATTGCTGTGTAATTTAAAAGATGACAATATAGTACCTCAGTAAATTAGGGCTGCTCAATGCTTTTCTGTACAGTAATCCCTAATTAAAGTGGACTCAAACTCTAAGTGGCACTTTCATTTCTTTATGCATGCAGCAATGTGTTGCTTGTTCTCTAGCAATGGCTTCCACTGGTGTTGGTGTAAATTTCTATTAGAGAACATTTGAGACAGCAACAATTTCACATGAAGCTAAGCATGGAGTAAATCATCAACCCAGTTTCCAGTAATTACCATTACAGGACACACTTATTCCTCTGCCTCAGGGTGGAAAGAGTGTTGTTATTGCAATTAATATTACTTTGCACGGTAGTCAGGTATTCTGATCTTAAAATGTCACAAAACGAATGCAGAAGTGATGGTACTGAGTTCCGTAGTGCAAAAAATAATCATCCCTTAAAAAGCTACATTATGGTCTTCATATTATGTGTGTTAAACTGCTGATACAGTAAAATAATTATACATTTTCATGTTCCCACTTCCTTTTAAACATCCCATAGGTTGACTTCACACTCATAATGCACTGCGAGCTAAGCCAATGCTCACCTGTGAGACACTGCTCTAGACAGCTGTTTCATTACCAATAAATTTTTGGATTTTTGTAAGGAATGCTCTGATAAACATAATTATTTTTAGCAAGTAGAGGGCTTGTAGTGGGTTATCGTCACTGCAGCCACTACTTCAAGATGCTCCCCAGTACCACAGATGATATATTGCCATTTGTAGTGGCATTCTTGTGAGTGTATCATACCAGTGACCAATCACGAGGTCAAATTTTGGGGAGGTTGGAGCGCTTTTTAGTTTGTACCATGGGGGATTTTATTTATTTTTTTTTTTTTGTGCTGGTATGCAAATCAGCATTAATCATTGGATCCTATGGGAAAATGTGTACCTTTGAAAGAAAATTCACCTCATAAACATGTTTTCAGGAATTCATCTTTCTCATTAAGCAGGACCTTACTGTATGTTTCATCATCATAAACTGATTAATGATCACGCGTACTTAAACTTGAACCTTACAGAAAAAATAAATTAAATCCTTCAATAGAACTGTAGCAATGCAACAACTTGCAATCCATCAAATTTTAATTATACTTTTGATACTATGTAATACTTTATAAATATTCATTCCAACCTTTCTTGCAGATGTGATCAGCTTAAATAGCATCTTGAGAAGTGATGTGAAGGATGCCACCTTGGCTCTCTCCGGTGCTACTGTTTACTCTGGTACATCTCTCTCAAGTATCTCCAGTTTTAATCTGAACTCACAGGCAGCATCAGATCTCCCAGAAATTTGTAATAACACCACAAATAGCAGTACCTGGGGGTGTAATGATATGATAAGCAACATGTCCTGTGTGAGCGAAAAGCTGTTCATAGGTCTAAGAGACAAAGGAAATGTACTCTTATGTGATCCAAGGACTGGGAGAGTTGCACAAGAAATAGTGGTGCCAGAAAGTTCAGGTGAGACTTGGACAATGGATGTTAGTTGTGATGGAGGCAGTGTAGTCATTGCTAACTCCTGTGGTGTTTTAAATGTTTTTGATTTGAGAAATAACATTAAATCAATTTTTGCAACTTCCATGAAGGTGCAGAAAAAGAAAGTGGTAAACCACAGAGTGTGCATCAGCCCTGGCGACTCGTTGTTATCGGTGTCTGGTTATGACAAACATATTCAGGTTTTTAACTTAAAAATTCCTGAAACAAATGGTGAAAGTATATTCAGTCATGATGGCCATAGAGGACATAATGTACAAAATATTGTAACACATTTATGGCACCCAACACAGAAAAAACTCTTGTTCTCAGCTGATGACACAGGTAAGCTTCAGGCTTGGAGATTTAAATAGAAGAAATCCTACAAGACAATACAGTACAGCATATACCACTTGTTTTTCATAACTTAATACAAGTGATCAATGGACAAGCAACAGTTACCCAATAACTATGGATAAATGCCATTGAAAATCAAATATTACATTAATAATGTGATATGATAAATAATTAATATGATGGAAATACTGTAAACAGTGTGTGCCAAACACAGTGTTTTATTTTTTAGTTCTTTAGACATTAATGAGCTGATGAGTGCACATGAACTAATGTGGAAAGCACTGTATGGTGTACCAAATGTGATATTTTAGTTTAATGGTGGTGGGAGGTGCAACACATTAACCTAACCAGGTGTGTTGGCTTCCATCTTATGTATATCAACAAGATAAGGTACTGTGCAAGAATTGAAGTTAAACATTTTTTTTAATAAAATAATAATCTTACTTGTAATTATTACTTCTCCCTTTTTAAGGTGTAATGATAAATGTTCAAATTTTGCATATTTTCAAACAAAATAATGCCATAACATATTATCACTCAGGGACATTCAGGCATTATTTATGGATTTAAAATTGACATCAAAATGAATAGCTACCACGGTATATATATAGTACTGTACATTAATTGTATTATGCAGAAATATGCAATAAATAAAAAAATATGAATTGAAATTACATGCATAGTAACCACATTTATAACTCTTTGCTGGATATGCAAAGACAAACACTGATCAGCTTGTTAGCTGCTTGGACGGTTGATCATATCTCTGTTACATACTTTTGGCAACTACTGGGCATGTACTGGTCCAGAATGTATCTGTACCTGCACCAGTGTTGGTGAAGTCTGGTCTTGAATGAGCTAACACTTGGTGCTGTCACAACCCTCACTGGTAGATTGTTCCAAGAGTTCACAATTCTCACTTCTAAAAATTTGCCCTGACAGTTTTCTGAACTTGTGACTTCTTCAACCTTGAGCTGTGATCCCTGTTTCTTTCCTTAGTATTTAAAAGAAAGTTAATTGCCATTTATAATGTAAGTTTCATAAAGCACCTATCAATAGTATATTATGGTATTTAGTGATAATTTATACAGTTAATTTAGTCCAAGTAAACTATTTTATGCTGTACTTTTTCTATGATGATCATGAGTACCTCTTCTTTGAGGCTCAAAAAAAGGTAGCTCAATAAACTAATAGTTTGCCCTCGTTTTATAGGCGTTTTCCTTGGAAAGTTGGTCACTCTGCTATCTCTCAACTTGAGAGATATGTCACATAATGCCAGAAAAGACCTCAGTAGCTCCATTCCATCCCCTGGGCATGCCAGTGGCTATCAAGCTCCTTCAGTTGAGTTTGTGGATGATTGTTGCCTCCATAGTGACTGAGTCTGACTTAGGCTCACCGTAAATTGTCCCTCTAATTGGGGCGTGGCAGTGGTGACATCACTTTTCAACTCTAATTGACGAGTGGCTGAATTTTTTGCACCATATAACATTTGGCGGGTGCTGGGGGGGAAGGGGCAGTAGTACTTAGTTATTTAAAGAGAATTTTGAATACACTCAGTCTCACACATATGTATACAGTAGATACAGGCTTTAATCTAAGATGGAATTATTTAAAGCATTTTAGAGTCACAGCCTCTTTGAAATTCATTTTAGGTACAGGTATATGCAAAGAGCAATTGACGTCTAACAGAAAGACCAAGCCCCTGAAGGAAAGGTGGAGGAGAAGAGAGGGAATCAATGGTGGAGGGGGGTTAAGAGGGTAGGCTAGGTGAGGTGGGTGGTCAAGGTGGTAATGGACACAAGAAGATCAAAAGGAAAGTCCGCTGTCATGGCCAATGCCACCTGACCTGACAGCACCTCACCTCACGAGACCTCCAGGTAGATGACCGCGTTATGTCTCCCCACACCCACACCGTACCTTTCACAGCTCCACCCACACAACTCTTTTACTATGGTTAATAATTAATTAATTAAAAACTATATTATTAATTTGCCACAGACATTAAAACTCTTTGTTTGGGTCATATAATGAGTAACGATTTTTGCTTTTCAATTGGAGTAAAATTACTGTTAGAAAACCATATTCAAGTAAATGTACTAAAAAATTTGAGTACCTTCTAAAAGTAAATACCCAAAAATGTTACTTGGGTACACTACTCAGGTAAACTTATTTAGTTAAGATCTTCTAGCTATCTAAAAAGTTTACAGGTAATATAAAACTAGTCAGAGGCAACAGTTTTTTAAGATAATATATTTCGTAATTTATCAACATCCCTGAAAGCTTTACAAAGAAAAAGGACTTTGCTTATCTTCAGATCTGCAACCTGCATAAACCCAGTTTGTCATTGACCAAAAAATTAAACGTTTTGATGCCTTAAAAAATCTAAAAATCAATTTCAAGTGATAAATATCAAAGTCACAAACTCAAAACATAACTTAGCCATCACAATTAACTTAATGATCAGTCAAAGGTGCCTAAATAACAATAACTCTAAGTCTTATCAAACCATTTTTGTAATCTACAGTATTGACTAAAATAAGTGACGAGAGTCTTGTCCACTTATTTTAGTCAATACTGTAGGGCTAGTCAATAGAGGAATATTTTTAAGACAAATGAATAATACTTTTTATTCTTCATTAAGCCACTGTAAAATGGTACTGTACAGTTCTTACTTTCAATGTAGTGAAAAGAACTTTTGCTTTTTGGGGGTGTTGGCTCCTGGGTTTACAATGCAGTGTACCAACTTTTAGATTTTTGTTTCTGGGTCTTATTGGTGATACTATGATTAGCAGTGGTTATGTCATGATCCAAAAAATTTGATTCCTGACAAAGTCAGTGCTTCCATTACTGACAAATGTGAATGTGATTTGTTTCCTTTTTATCTGACAACATTTGTGGAACCCAACAAACTGCACCCACCTGGTAACCTAATAAATAATGGTACAGTATAATATGAGCTATTAACAGATTCCCAAATCTTCAGTACTGTTTCTGTCCACCAACAGTCTTCAAAGGTTTTTACACCAGCTTGGGCTCTCAATTTGGGTGTTTGAGATCAAAGGGGGAGACCTTTTCTTGATTCATCTTGTAAGTCCCTCCTGCATGAGACAGCTTGATCTTGGCATGTGCTAAATCATTTAAATGAGTGTATAATTCTGATTTATTAAGCCACAAGCAAAAATTTGATGAATTCCCTTTATTCTATCTGCAAATCAATGAGAACTAAGTGAGTGAACAAAACAATTGCATCACTAACTGATTCAGGTTAAGGCATATTCTAAGTTATCCTTCCAAGCTTATTCTTTTAAAATGGATAAGTCCCAGTAATGGACCTATTCTGAGTACCGGTACTTATTCAACAACCTTTGTATATGGCAAGTCTTTCAACAAAGTTCTTCCTGAATCTAATTATCCACTGAATAAAATAATTTAACAACATCTTTGGGTTTCTCTACACCCCACTGTGTTACCTGCAGCTGAGAGAGAGCAGGGGAACAAAGACAAAGATATACAAAGAACAAGACAACAAAACTAAGAAGAGAGAAGAGAAAATAAGACCTATATAGACAGAGGGAAGGAGGAAACAAAGAGACAGATTATTGACAAAAGAATATCCAAAATATTATCGTCTTGTTTACTAGACTCCATTATTATTGAGAGTGAAGACATAACACAGCAAGAGCTACTTCTCATTGGGCTACAAAACTATGCTAATAATGAACATGGTCTTAGGACTTTCCTTACCTATACAGTATCAATACCATTATCAATACACTGTACTAGATAATAAATTGTGTGGAGCAGGTTTGTTGTCCAGGTATATTTTTTCTATAATAAACAGTAAAAGTTAAGAATTAGTCCCTTCAAAATAAATAGTCCAGTTACCTTTAAATAACTTTTTAATAAAAATCAAGCCTTACATGAATAACTGACAAACTGTGATTTATTTTCTATAAACAAACTAATACAATGAAGCAGATAAATTAAAACCATATCTAATCACTGGACTTGAACAAAGGAAGTGGTGGTAACTGACAGCAAAATGTCACCCTTTCTCTTCCTCCTTGAGGTCAGTAAAATAACCACCATAAATGCACCTGCCAATTCTGCAACAAAGCCACGATGATTTATAAATATTTTCTGTTTAAGACTTAAAACTAACTTATAATTAAATATATAAAAACAATCAAGAGAGAATACATTAGAAAAACAATTTCATTACCTTAAAATTGTGAAAAACAATAAAATAATAAATCAACGAACACTTAAAAAATCACATAAATAAGACACCATGCTCATTCACCCTCTTACTATGGGCCACCATTTTTAATGTTTCATTTTGTTCAGCTTAAGGGGTTCATAGCATAAAAACAATTAAATAGTGATCATTAACATATACTGTACATCACAACCATAAGAAAGACAAATGATGGATCACACAACACAGCACAAAAATATACAAAACTTTCTGACATAATATTTAAGTGATAAGTGAATTCACTGTCACCAGTAATAAATTCTGTAAGTGCTTGTAACTCACCTGATTTAACCAAAAGACCACTGTATAGTTATCAACTACAGTACAGTATTACCCAGCCTAACGCGGTTTCACTTAGCGCGTTTTACCATATACGCGGTGCCTCGCCAGAGCTGAACTTTCACTTAACACGGATTTTTTCCACATATACGCGGTGAGTGTCCGGCTCGAGACGCTATTTTTAGATTTGCCCCACCTGCCACCCTGCCTGACTGCCTGTTTTAGCTCATAAAATTCATACAAATTACCCGGCCAGAATATAATTTACATTGCTGGAATTCTTATAATTTGGTGATCATTTTGAATATAAACATCATATATTTTGCATTAGACATACAAATTTTAGATAAAATGTTTTCTCTAGTAAATATGTTATCTTTTGTGCAAAATATATGACATTTATATTCAAAATATTCCTGGTCTTACAAGGAATCCAGCAATGTCAATTATATTATCCTAACTTTAGTTTGAGGTATTTATTAAAATTTAGTGGTTTTCCCACACATCTCCTTGGGACGGTTGGTGGGGGGTGGGGGGGGGAGGGAGGGACCGACCGACCATCTGTTACCCAGTGAAGAATATATATTTTTTTTATCAACTGAAGATATTTGTTTTAGCTCATAAAATTCATACAAATTACCCGGTCAGAATATAATTTACATTGCTGGAATTCTTATAATTTGATGATCATTTTGAATATAAACATCATATATTTTGCATTAGACATACAAATTTTAGATAAAATGTTTTCTCTAGTAAATATGTTATCTTTTGTGCAAAATATATGACATTTATATTCAAAATATTCCTGGTCTTACAAGGAATCCAGCAATGTCAATTATATTATCCTAACTTTAATCTGAGGTATTATTTAATACAAAATGTTAAAATTTATTTTTTTCACCC